CAAACAGCAGATTACCTTGCTTGATGTGATAACATACAAGGACATGTGTCATAAGTTGAGAATAGCTTCTTGGAGGGGCATAGAGGTTGAGGCAAAGAGAAGGCAAGATAGTTTGGGGAGATTCTCATCCCCATTAGGTTCGATAGGCGAAGTTTTAAAGAAGCCTGGCTACAATTCTAGCAGTTTTGGTTCCTCAAGAAGAAATGGTTTTGCCAAAAGACCTCAACCTCGATCTGTTTAAAAAGGACCAATTTAGAGAGGTGGAGGCGTGAGAGTTAGATCTCTACAGTCTTCGAGGCAAGCATCAAATATACTAATCCCGACACGGAGCATAGGTAGATCGCCCCAGTGTAACATTTACGGTAGATCTCATACAGAAAGATGTTAGGCTTGCTTTAAGTGTGGCAAGTCAGGACACTTAGTAAGGTAGTGCTCAAAGGGTAGAGTTGAAAGCCCTATACATCGATTTACCATACCTGGATGGGTATTTGCAATCACACAGGAAGAGTCTCCAAACTTGATCAGAGGTATGATTTTTATTTGTGGTCATCAAGTTGAGGCATTATTTGATTTTGGTGCCACACATTCTTTTATGTTTGAGAAGTGTGTGGATATATGAAGATTGTCTTTGCAAGAATTTCAAGTACTCATTAGAGTGACTACACTTTTAAGATCTTCTAGTATTACAAGTAGAGCTTGTAAAGGTGCAGAGGTTTGATTTAAAGGTAAGATTTTTATAATTGATCTGATTTGTATTCTATGAAAGGAATAGATGTAATCATTGACATAGACTAGCTAGCAGAAAATAATGCTACGCTTAATTGTGCTAGAAAGATGGTTTTATTACCAGTGTTATCTGCAGCAGTAAGTTCTTTTGCACAGTTCAAGTTCTTGTCAATATTTAGTATGGAGAAGTTGACTCAGCAAGGTTATGATGCCTATATAGTATTCTTTACTTCTAACACGATATATGATGGTGGCATTGAGAAGATTAGGGTAGTGAGTGACTTTCCAGAGGTGTTTTTAAATGAAACGACCGGATTACCTCTAAAAAGGGAAGTGAAGTTCTCTATTAATTTGGTTCTTGGAACTGAACTAATATCAAAGGCTCTGTATCGAATGTCACCATCAGAATTAGCAGAATTGAAGAAGCAAATCAAAGACTTGTTGAATAAAGGGTTTATTCAACCAAGTGTGTCACCTTGGTTATCACCGGTTCTATTTGTGAGAAAGAAAGATGGCAGTTTGCATCTTTGTGTTGACTACCGATAGCTGAACAAGGTGACTGTGAAGAATAAGTATCTGTTGCTAAGGATTGACACTCTTTTAGATCATTTAGCTAGTGCTCAGTCTTTTTTAAGATAGACTTGAGGTTAAGGTATCATCGGTTGAGAGTAAGTGCAATAGATATGCCCAAGATAGCTTTTAGAACTTGGTATGGTCATTACAAGTTCTTGGTCATGCTATTTAGTCTAACCAATACGCTTGCAGTATTCAAGGATTATACGAACCAAATCTCCAAGCCGTACTTAGATCAATTTGTTATGGTATTTATTGACAGCATCCTCATCTATTCAAAAAATAAGAAGCAGCATGTGAAGCATTTGAGGACAATACTCCAGATTTTGAAAGAGAACAAGTTATATGCTAAGCTCAGTAAGTATGAGTTTTGGTTGAGAAAAGTTAGATTTTTAGGACACGTGATGTCTGTAAATGAGATTTTTGTGAATCCGCATAGGTTGATATGGTGTTGAAGTAGGAGCGTCCCAACTCAATCACGAAGATATGTAATTTTTTGGGAATATCTAGGTATTATTGTTGTTTTATTCAGAGATTTTCCCATATAGCTTTTCCTTTGACTAAGTTAACATGAAAAGATCAACCTTATATTTAGGATGATCGATGTGAGTTAGCATTCCAGAGTTGACCTATATATGTTTATAATGATTTATTTATTCTCACACATAACGAAAAAGTACATTCGAAATAATTTTTGGCAATTTTCTACTATACACTACATGGTGATCTAAGAGGACGAAATTTGCTAGATGTCCAAAATGTGTTTTTGGTCAATTTAAAATGATAGAGCTTTTGAAAAGTAGATTTAAAAAGTAAAATATTATTTAACCATACTAACTTAAGTTTAATTTCTTATTCTTTTATTTAAAAAATAGTTAATTTATTAATGTAAATTGAATAATTAATTATGTTAATTTTTAACATTATAAATTGAATACTTAATCATGTTAATTTTTAACATTAATGTATAATAAAAATTACAAATCTTTACCACATTTTTTAAAATTATAAATTTAAAAAATACAAATAACTAGAGATCAAGTTTTTATTATTATAAATCAAATTTTATGTTGTTTAAAATTTTTATCATATTTTTTAAATATTTTAAATATATTACATTTGTAAAATAAAAATTATAAATCATCATAAATTAATATTTTTCTTTATAATTGTATATTCAAAAACACACTTTACTATCATAATCTAAACAACTTTCAATTTATTAAACTAATTTTTAAAAAAATATATTTAAATATAAATTTCGTTATAACAATTCACTTTATTAATTTGATTTTTATTAAATAAATTTTTAATAAATAAACTTTTGACAAATTAAAAATCAAACACACACTTAAAAGTTATCCTCCAAACTATATCATCAACCGTGTTTGAAGTGAGATCAATTATACCAAAGCTAGTTCCTTGATGACAGTAACCTTCTATCCATTGTTTTAAAAAATTTCATAGGCACTAATGTTCATGCTGTTCCCACCGATCCGTTGATTCAGGGCTTCAACTTTATGAACGCTAAGTACAGCGCTGCATAGAACTCATCAAACCTCATCCTTCTATTTTGTAGTGAATTAAGCTGACAACCAAAATCATCAATGTCAATGGCCAGTTAAGGCTTACACGCCGATTGAATCATATTGAGGCATTAATTCTACTGTCAACTCGCAGCATTAATTCATACTATCATATATACTAGTATGTCAATTGCCAAACATCTTTTTTTCTTTTAATTATAGATACAGATGATGGAAGCCTACCAGACTGACGAGCAAAGCAAAGGAGATCTTGAAAAACGAGCCTCTGGCGAATGAAAATGACCAAGTAATAGAAGTTGTTAGCAGAAAAAAGTACGAAACGCAAAAATAGATCCGACCCACTAAAGATCACAACAAACAAGAATAATGCAGTCGACCTATAGCATTGATAAGTGAATAATCCGTGAAGAGATTTTCTTAGTTGTAAAAAAAAATTGTAATATATGTTGTACTTTTATTATCATGGCCTTTAAAACGGTGTATGAATGAATTCCGAGCGAGCTTCTCAGCTCTTAACTGAAGAAAAACTTTTTGCGAGCACGTGGCGTGACAGACATTGGTGGATTAAGTAATAGCGAGCAACTTTCCCAGTTCAAAAACTGCACCAATACCTATGTATTTGAGATCGTAGAGGCCAGACGTACTCAGAATATGACTGAAAACTAAATCCAAGGGATCTCAAACACAAGGAAATCGGCGATAACAAAGCTTCATAGGGATCTCAAACAAATAAGCAATGTCATTGAACTAGCTCGCAGGAACCTCGAACGGCAATGCTATTTTTATAGGGAGATTTGTCGCCTTTATGTTACGTATCAGTCTTCCTCACGGCACCACATATCATAAATCAAAGCATGACTTAAATAGACACATGCACGAGATTTGGAGGGAACGTTTTTCTGCAGATATTGAATTCCCAAGCAGCCACGGATAAAGAGACAGTGTCGGAAGAAAGAACAAGAGCTGTGCTGGAGGCCGAAGCAGCAGCGCTAGCCAGGACGAAGTTTGAGCTTCAGAGAGCTAAGGAGAATGCCATGCAATCATGGCTTGACTCTAGGCCCCTCATTGATGAACTGGAGATGCAGAAATCCAACCTTGCAGATGCGCAAAAAAGGTTAGATTTCGATGTCATTCCAGAGTTGGAATCTCAGCTGGAGATTATCACCATGAACATCAAATCCAAAATAGAATACCTATTTAAGGCAGAAACCATGGGCCATGAAATCAATCACACTTTGGATCAATCACGCCATGAACTGAAAAGGCTTGACTTCAGCATAAAGAAAGGGAGGCATGCACGAGCAAACCTCAGACAGAATTTGCAGTTAAGGAGGCAGAAACTTCAGACCTTCCAGCTCACCGTTCAAGCTATCCTGCTCGAGTCAGATGCCCGGGAAAACTCTGCTGATGAATCCCTCCATTGGATTAAGCAATTAGAAGTCCACACTGCAGCAGTACAACTAACACATCAAGAGTACTCAGCCTTGACAAGAGCAGCTGAAGAAAGGTTTTCACAGGCAAATCAGAACGTTTCTGTTTCCATGGCAAAGAAGTTCGCAGCTGAGACTAGGCGGGATTCAGCATTATCAAGATTGAATAAGTTGTACTCCAGCAGATCATCGAAAATGGACAGAAGAAATAAAACTGTGCAATGTGAGACAGAAATGGATGCGGAGAAAAATGATTCAAGCGAAAAAGTGGTAGAAGTAGCCAACAAAACAGGTGCTTCACCAAAAGCCCTGACCAAGTCTGAAGTGACAACCGCAACAATCTAGAAGATCACGAAGTAATATTAAAAAGCAAGAAAAGTCATCAATTTTGCACCAAATTAAAGGATGTTTTGGGCTGAAGATAAGAAAATTGTGAGAATGATATGAATATATAAATCAACTCTAGACAGTACAAAAACCTTTCCTTCCTCCCCCCCCCCCTCTCTCTCGGCCCAACAACAACATGCCTCGTTTAAATATTATAAAAACAGAGAATTACCCCTATAACAAAATCAATCAAAGTTTAGCTTCAAAGATAACTGATTAATGTTGCGTCTAAAAATTAGCCAGCTGTCATGGACACCTGATATTGCCACAAGAAAAATATTACCACGCCTAGCCTTTTCTAAACAAGATGGAGATTGAAACATCAAAATACAGTCCCTGAAAAGAATCAACAATTTATTCATCCATGATGTTGGATTAGAGTGCGCTAAAATTTTATGCAGGGTATCCTGACAGTAACCAGAGAAAACACCAGCTTCCAAAACTAAAGATATTGAAATAGACCTTATTACAATGTACAACGCCAATCTATTAAACTAGCACTGGCAAGTGACAGTGCCAATAAAGCTGCCACATCAAAATCCCTATGAAAGCGAGAGGGCGAGCAGGATGTTTACTAATGCGTACATGCTCCATTTGGACTCCATTCTACTGTCAGGAGAAACATGTATGCTTTATAATATTGCACAAAACTTCCAGAACTTCTGTTACTGCTGAAGAGCTCTATGTAATATTGCACAAAAACTGCTTCTATTCTCGCGCAGTATAACTTCCAGACTGAAGAAGCCCTCGTACTTTCATTGAGGCAAAAGGGCATCAATGAGAAACTGGGGGAAATAAGCTTACTAGGCAATAGCTGCAACTCACCAACAAGAGTGTCCAGGTAAACTATGATACATTGACGGGTCCAAGTCTCTGGAATAGTGATTGATAACTTCCCTAAGTGTAGTTATTTAGGAATACCATTCTTACTATTACTATTTCGATGTAGCCAAAGACAATCATGGAAGGGTTTCGGTTGTGTCTTGCAGCCTGAGTATGTAGGCAAAAATACAAAGTGCTCAGGGGTTTTGCAAGGAAGGAATCACTCTGACACCAATGTTAAGTCAAAAGTTACACTGAGGCTTCTGTCCATCTGCAGAGAGGAAAAAATATGCATGAACATTTATGAGTAAGCCACGTGCAGCTCAAGAATACCACATTTAAAACAGAATGGATTCTTTGACACAAATATTCAGGACAAGTAACTTTTGGTGTAATGCGCAAATCCTAACCTAGTCATCTCTCGCTGGCTTTCCCTTTTGCAATTTGCAAGCCGGTAGCAAGCAACTGATCAGATAAATATTCAGATTGCCCTCTGGGACTATGGGGTTTGTCCTATCCACATTAAAAACAATAATAAATAAATACTACTGAACAGCTTTGTTTTAACGCTATAAAGAGTTACAACATTTATATTCACCATCAAGTTTATTCCATTGTGAGACTGCATGGAATATGTAACATCTGGCTGTTGTGCATTTTTCAAGAACCGATGTTCAAGTAAAGCTGAAGCAGTTGACCGCTCTGCTGGATTTCTCTTAAAGCAGCACCTTAGGAAGTCCTTACCTTCCAATGACAATGTCTCCGGTATAGGAGGAGCTTCCCTCATAACCTTAAACATAGCCGCAGCCTGCAAAAATACCATTTGATAAAGTTATTCAATGAAGGATATATATGGACACTATATCTCAGCTGAATTTACAAGCTGCACTCTAAACAAAGTTGCATAAAGATGCTTTTGCTTCAGGCTGGAGGGAGCAACAAAGATGCCTCAGACTTCAGCAATTTGAATAAGCAGAAATACAACCAGATCTAAATATGCAGTGCTCCAGTTTACCAAACCTATCAGAATATGTCGATGATAACTGGGGCTCTAGTGCTAGTGTGGAAACTGATTCATAATATGAAAGGACAACTGAAACTTTCTGCAGGTGCTTACTCCTTCATATTCACTCCATGGAGGCTTCCCCGTGAGCATCTCTATGATTGTACAACCCAAGCTCCAAATGTCAACAGCTAAAGCTAGATCAGAGCTGTTGTCTTTTTGCATCACTGCCTGCATAAGCTGTAGGAGAAAAGAAGCGTCAATAAGGAATGCTATAAGATATCACAGGGTAATGTGAAATAAGAAAAAGGTATACCTCAGGAGCCATCCAGTATGGGCTTCCCTTCAAAGAAAGATCAGCTGCATGTCCAGCGAGCTGTCGAAGATAAAGATCCTAAGTAATTCCACTCAAAGTAATAAACAAATTGAAGAAGTAATAAATTTGCAGATTTCAACCAAGACAAAGGAATTCTCAAGCGAACAATTTGAGCCCTTCAATTTTAAATCCTGTTCAACTGATGATCGATCCTTTTCCAGGAAGTCTTTTAACAGCAAAAAGATAAATACTAAATACAGTGACATGAAAAGCAAGAAAAAAAGGTGCAATGAGAAAATCATTCTCTCCATAGGACAAATACAAAGACTCAAAAAAGTCTAGATTACAACGACAACAAGCCTTATCCCACTAGATGGGATCAGCTACATGGATTGCACAACACCATTGTACTTCATCATCAACCAAACTTTAGAAATATTGTTAATTAAGAGATCTTATTCAACAACTTCCATAAAACTGTATTCAGAAGGAAAATTTTAGTAACTCACGTGCTTGGCCATCCCAAAGTCAGCAAGCTTAACAACCCCAGCAGAATCGACAAGCAGGTTAGCCCCTTTGATGTCCCTATACAATTCCAGCAAAGATAATCATTTTCCATCCAATAAAATTGGCAACAATATCTTAGGATTTCATATACTAGATGTTTCCAGATCTCATGTTGTGCAGCATATCAAACTTATGACTGTACCTATGAATTGTTTTTTTGCCATGCAAGTAAGCCAGCCCGGAAAGAATATGACGAGTAAAGTTACGTACAACAGATTCTGTTATGGCACCACAATGTTCACGGACATATTTATTAATTGATCCAGGATGGACATATTCCAGATAAATATAAAACCGGTCTTCAACCTTCAAGATATAACACAAAGTCAACAAACTTAGCTTTTATGATTGTTCTAGAAATATATAATTGGTCATGTTTACCCAATCACGAACAAGGAGATTGCTTACGATTTCACTGCCATAATATTGCACAATGTTTGTATGTTTCAGCTGGCTAAGAAGTTTGATTTCCTGAGGAGAGAAACAAATTAGCAAGAAGGAGCTTGAGGAATCAGAATGCTGTGTGTAAATGATGATGGTAAAGACAATAGTAACATTTCTTCATATTAGTTTGGGGAAGATACAATATATAATAACGACATCATATTTTATACACTTCATACTTGCACAGTTGACAAGCAGATAGTAAGGGACAACCTGCTCCAACTGTTTTATACACTCAGCAGATTTGGGGTCATCGGGAAATATTTCTACTTCCTTCATAGCACATAATGCTCCAGTTTCTCTGTCACAAAACCGAAAAAACTGTTTCAGTACCTAGCAAGGAAGAGAAGGTAGATGCTTAAGAAACTTCATGCACCTATTGGTGGCGACATAAACACTTCCAAATGTACCACGCCCAATTAGTTTCCCTTTCTGCCATTGGCTTTTCATTGAGGAGGACTCTAACTTGGGCACAGTCGGGGATAATTTAGGGGAGGGGGAAAGCAAGGGCGCCCCAGGAGGCAATGGTAAGGGGTGAACATTGAGAGCAGGGGCATTGAAGTCACGACGCGCTACTGAGGTCTCGAGGGATAACCTGGGACGCACGGGTGAGGAAGCTCCACTACGGCATTTAAGATTTTGATTAGGACTTCTGCCCCGTGGACTGTGATGAGGAGAAGTATCAGTGGATAATGCAGGTAAATCAAATAATGCAGGAGGCGTCGTTCCTGATGATGCATCGGATGTAACCATCTCCGGTGCCGACCAATATTGATTTGGTGGGGGACACACATAATGATATTGAACGAAATCACTATATCTCCCATTGTTCGGGCTCACCAAGGGACTGATCAGAGGACTAGCTGGAGCACTCCTAGTTGGGACGCTGATGCAGAAACTATCTTGATTACTTTCACCAACACTTAGATCCCGACGCATCATCCCCGAGGATACTGTTTCCGCAAGTGCCTTATTCTTTCTTGAGCCTGAGCTAGCAAACACACTGGGACATAATTGAGCCAAGTGTTAATAAACTCTTAGTGTTAGCAAATGCGGCGAGCAGGCACCGTCGGATTCAGCAAAGATGATTAGCCATGCTTATAATTAAACGTTTCCAGGGACACATAACGCAATCGTAAAAGAGTAGTAATATCATGAAGTCCAATAATCACTAAGAAAGCACCGCCTGTCCGCAATGATATTTCAGTTATTGAGTTGGGGCAGAAAAGATGAGAAAGAAAGGGCAGGAAAATCGTACAAATAGGTTTCATTAAAAATTAAAAAAAAAAAGAAATATGAGAAATTTTCAAAATATAAATGTTATGGGAGCGAAGGACGGACCGCATGACGAAACAAATAAAAGCAGACGCAAACAACATCAATCCAGAGACAAAATATATTACCTCCGAATTCGAAAAACAGAGGAGACACCGACCATCACGCCTGCAACTTGATCGTGCTCCACGACCCCTTTGGCAGCGCTGCTGGGCCCTGGCACGTCTTTCGGGGAAGGTAAAGGGTAATCAGCGTCTCTCTGGCGAGAAAGCGCGGAGTCCGGCAAGGGCAAGGGTTGAGGCGAGATGGAGGGGGAAACGCAAGAGGATGTATTGGAACAATTGAATTGGCGATCGAAGGGCGTCGGGGAATGAGCCAAAGGCACAAGGGCGTCATCATCGGAATCATGCCACCTGGGAGGGGATTTGCCATCGCTGTCGGCAATATGTCGAAGCTTCTTGAAGCGGCCAGTCTTTTTGCCAGTACCGAAAGGCCAGACGCCACCAGAACCGCGAGTGGAATCGGTGGACTTCTTAGGGTGGTCACCGTCGGAGGTGGAAAGCGAAGAAGAGGCAGAGGAGGATTTGATACCATTAGAATGGGAAAAGGACAGGGAAGGTAACCAACGCATGGCGATCCGGCAAAGAGAATGGGTTCATTGAATCATTGTAGCAGAGGAGGAGCACAAAGATCGGCAGGTGGCAGAGAACTGCTGTCCAAAGCGAGAAGATAAGCCATATGCGAAAGCGAGAGGAGAATGATGGTCAGGCATGGATATAGGTCTTGGAGAGAGGGAGAATGAGTTTGTTGGGATATGTTTCTCCTTCTGGCTCGTCCTCTGTTTCTGTGTCTGGAAGGGCAACCACAACGCGGTTTACAACGTACTGCCCCCACGCCAAACGGTAAAGAAGACTCCATTTTGAGAGGTCAGCATCTTCTCTCTCCTTCGTCCCCCATGTCAACCTCCTATGACCATGACCATCTCACATGAAGAGGATGTCACCATCTCATTTTTGCTTTTTTTAATATATTTTTATTCCTGTTAGAAATTATTTGCAATGTGAAATTCCGTCATTAATTCTACTATTTTAGGTCCGCTTGTTATTCTCCCGCCACTGTCTGCCTTGCCTACCCGGCTACCCCTCGCGGAAACAGTAACTGAACAAACTAAATACGTGGATATGCTATCCAACATATTTACTATGTCACATGTATCATGTGATACACTCTACTCATCTGAATATGATATGAGTGGATATGTAATTAGCATTTTGTAACTACCCATATTCCTTTGATTGAATCTTTAAATGTGTGTGCGTGCTGGATTTTAAGAGGCCAGAAGGGATTATTGTAACTCTTATAGTACTATAGAGATGCATGATGGAGTTGGTAGATGATCATTAATTCATATAATGTAATCGGCTATTTGCTTTCCTTTGTCGTCTGATAATGTCAGGAGTTTAATAAGCTTTAATTACTAAATTAGTGTGGGTTCCGGTCTGGCTGGCCCAAAAAAAAAAGATAAAAAAGAAAATAGTGTTTTGTTATTAATTGAAGGACGATTGTGTTCCTTATTTCATGGATCCGTCGCAGTGTAACTGCCTGTTTGGATTAGCTATGAGAATCAATTATTTGCATGGAAACGTGATTTTGATAAAAAATATCCAATCACCTGCATTCTACATAATTGATTTTGTGATCTAAAACCATGTTTTTGGATAAGTTATTCTCACCAACTCATCAATTTCAATTATACTTATATGAACATTTATCACTTGCCAAATTTTTTAGCCTACCAAGTATATCCCTGGCTTTATGTGAATGTACGAACATAAAGTGTGAAACGGGAGAAAATCAATAGAGCAACTACTTTAGTATGCAGCTTGAGACAAAAAGAAAAGTTTTTGAAAAAATTGAAATAAAAATATTTATTATATATTATTAAAGAAAACAAAACATTAAACGTGAAAAAAAATAAAAGAGTTGTAACATTGATAAAAAATATTATTAAATATTAATATTATAAATTTATAGTAATTTAATTTAAGTTTATATTGTTTATCAATATATATGTGTTAAATAATTTTTAAAATAGTAAATGTATTATTATATTTTTTATTAAATAAATCAAAATAAATTAAATAATATCTTATGCACTTTTATTTACCATAAAACTCATGTCCCTTATTATCATTTATATATATCTAAAATTGATGTTAATTAAGATCATCCAAATATCTTTAATTTTATCAAAATCAATTTTAAAAAATATCATCGAAATACTATCACATTATAATATAATCAATTATAATTAAAATTTATAATGTTAATCCATTTTTTTATAATCAATTATATACATTGAAATTTAAACACACTATAAATAATTTGATAGATAGACTGCAAGCTTATGTAATGTAGATAAAATGCAGATGAGAGATGTACGCAGCTAACGTTATCAATTTATCTTGGAATATATATATATATAATTAAACGTGGTATTTTTATCCTAAATTATATATTGGAGTTATTGGACTCATCAAACTAATTTGGGTTGGGTCTGAAAAGATCACAAAATTGGTAAAAATTTTAGTTAAACTAATGTACCTCCTGCTAACTAAGCTACATGTATAATTTCTTGTAATAAAAACATGACATACAAGATACAATCTTGACTCGTAAACTCATGAAGGGTCCTTGAATTATGCAACCATTATTTTCTAAATGGTATGGAAGACTAAAATTAAAATGAAATAAAATAGAAATCTGACCACATCAAGATCCGCACTGCCTGAGAATTTTCACCGCGCATTGAAATTGAAAGGATTCATTCTTTTCCTGAATGACAAACTGAAGAGTATAACGTGATGGTTGAATGGTTCAAACGTCAAGGTTTACCATTTCGTGCTCGAGTGTGCAGAGGGAGGGAGGGAAGGAGCCCTGATTAGTTTATCGGCCAAAAAGTAGAGATAAACCATTATCTATTTATTGCTTCGTGACCTCCTGCATTTGACCTTAATTTTTTTTTCTTAAGGAAAAACAAAATACAAGTGCCACGTGATTCAAAGTGATATTAGGTACGCGAAGGGCTTGGGCGGGGGTTGCTAAGCCTGATTAAACCAAAATTACTTATATAAACCTATACCAAAATTAAATTATCCCTCTCAAGAATAGAACATTTCAAGTTTACTAACAATATATGCAAGCCGTAGTGATAAGAGATTAACCTTGCACTAGCAATATCCCATAATTTATTTTATTGTTTGAAAATCTTGCGAGAAAGCGTAGGACAAACTTAATTTAGCACAGGTTTGTAGTCCATCCGCTTCTTCACTTATAATCATAGACACGTATCACTGGTAGTATCTCATCATGTTATTGTTATAAGCCATCTTTTTAGAAGAAATTAATGATCCTTGATATAAAATATTTGATGAGATATTAATTACATTTTTAAAAAATATCATCTAAAAATCTTCGAAGAGTTTTTATATAAAAAAAAGACATTAAAAATATGAAGTTTTATTACACTTCCCTGATACTTATTTAAAAATTAGATTTTATGAGAGAATACCTTGTTACACCTAAAGTTTAATAATTTAATATGTTGTTGTTAATTATGTAAGGCTAGTTGTCAAAACTCAAATTATTGCTTATTTACACAAGATCGATACTTGTATAATTAAACTTGTTCTATTAGTTTTGTGAAGCATAAAACTTGTGCTTTTGGTTATAATCTCTTGTTAATTTCAAAAAGATTGTTGTTAATTATGTATAGTTACTTATTAAAATTCAAATGGATACTCGTTTATGCAAGATCAACAAATGTCAACTAAACTCGCTATCGATTACAGTCACTTGTTAGTTCCAAATTAGTGAGTTGTTGCTAATTATGTAATGCTAGCTACTTGTCAAAACTTAAATGAATGCTTATTTATATATGTCAATATGTATATAATTAAACCCATGTTATCAATTTTTACAACTTTATTTTCTGAATGGAATATTATTCATTATGCATGGTTACTTGTCAAAATTTGAATAGGCATTAGTTTATGCATCCAAAAAATCTTAAGTGTAATTAGGTCTTATCTCACAAAGTATTATTTCCAGATAGGTTCATGGAGGGTGCGGTAAAATTTCATATTTTCAAGGTCTTCCTTTTGAAATTCCGAGGGGCCTTAGATGATATTTTTTATTACATTTCTAAAAATATTCATATTTAAATTCATTAACGCAGAGAGAGAGAGAGAAATGCAAATTTAAAATTTTTTTAATATATGAATAAAATTGAAAGTTTATTTTTTTAGATAAAATTAATGGCTCAATCATCTCTCATTAATTCTGATTAGGTGGTTAAAAATATTTTATAATAAGAATATGATGGAATATATATAATAAAATACATGGTGAAATATTTCCCCTCTATTTTCAAAATATACAGTTAGCCTATTTCTTAACACCATTAAAACAATTTTATTTAAGATTCTAAAATACTTTATTATATTAATTTAAATCTGTGAAAAAATTAAATTATTAATCTACCCTCGTGATCTAATTTATTCTCTCTCCTTCTATTTCAAAAAATATTATGATTACATTTATGTAAACATTTTACAAAATAATAAAATTAACAAATAAACATAAGTTATATTAATTAATTTATCTCTCGTTGCATTAAATTTCTAATTCTTTTTTTGCCAAGAAAATTTTAATTTATTAAATTTTTATTCATGTATGTTTTAAATATTATTTTTTGTGAATTTATATATTTAAAATTTTTAAAATTACCATATAAATAAGGTTATATAGTTGACTCTTAAACTTATACACACTGTAAATGAGTTTATTCATATTTAATATTCCTTCCGTCTCAAGTTAAACGACACTTTTAAAGAAATTTCTCTATCTTAAAATATAAGTCACTTTGAGTAGATTAAGATTTTATTAAATACATCAATTTTAATATTACCCTTTCTCTCTTCATAATAAATTTTTGTCTATTCTCTTTTCAATATATTAAATAATGATATTTTAAAATTTTATATTTTTGTTTTGAAAAAAATAAAGTTGTTAAATGTATTTAATAAGATTTATTGATATGTGAAATTTTATCAAAAAGTGTCTTATAATTTAGGATAGAAGAAGTATTGTTTTTCTCAACTCATATATAATAGTCATCATTTATAAATTTAAATGACTCCAGAACAATATTTATATCAAAGAAAGTTATTTCAGTCTGAAATATATAATTTAATGATCAATAAATGATTGAATAAATAAAAATAAAATATTTAAAATAGAAAAGAGATATATGCTATGTAAATTTTAATTTCACGAAAATAAAATAGAAGGGACGTTAGTATATTTTACTCTTAAATATATAATACTGTATAAATCTTCAAAAATATAACTTGCTCTCATGTTTTTTAGTAATACACGAGAAAGCGTGTTTATTTTTCATGTCAAACGCTTTCCTGCCGCTTGTACGTGCAGATTTGCGAATCTACAAATTTAATTTATGCTCTCATGAAGCTAGTGACACATGCGATTGCGGTTTTGACTAATGATTTTACTGGCAAAAGGGGGAAATTTGATTGATGATTATAAAATTAGCTGTCCGACCCCTAATACAGTAGTGACGTTAATCTCCAGATGACATGGTCGGCGTTTTCCTTCTATTTTCCTCCATTTCTTCCATCTTCATCATTTATTAATTTTATTATTTAAAAAAATTATTTAAATGATGGGAATTGAAAAAATAGAAGGAAATGAAGAGGAAAAAATGGAGAGACCAAGAGGTGCGATTGGGATACATTCGACGACGAAATTACTTGAAGCCTCTATCGTAAAAACGCAAGCCTTGGC